ACAAGCTCATCAAGGGCATGAGCTTAAAGCCAACGGACGATTCACTCAAGTACGATTGGAACACCGAGGCCACTTCTGTGCGCTTGAGGGCTGCTGTCAAAGGTGAAGGCAATGGTTAAGTGAGGGGGTCCTGTAGACCGAGGGCAACCAAGCATAGACATGGCCCAGAACACGTAAGACCTTCTCCACGCAGCGAGCGGGGGCACATCAATCCGGCTCTGACTGAGGCAGCTTGCCAACAGTAGCTCAGTAGCCTGAATGCTTCTCAGGATTCCGGAGGAACTTGCTGACAACGCATGCTTTTTGAGAGATTGTCTGCGCGCTTGCATCGGCCCGTGCTGTGCAGCATGCAACTGATGGAGCCAGAGTCTTGCGCGGACATGATGTGCACAAACTCTGCAAACTCATGCAGTAAACCCGAGCCGCAGTTTGTCACAAGGTTTGGGCCATCTGATTTGCCAGCATGCCCCAATCATCATGTACTTGTAGGCATGTCGGGACACTCCAAGTATCGAAGCACCAGTTAAGAGAGACAAGGAGACGCTCAAACTGTTCAACGCAGCAACATGCCAGGGCGATGGCAGCGAACACAAGGCCAAGATCCAGGCGATCTACAATGGGCAGGCCACCCGCATATCATTTCATTATGGAAGGCATGTTGGTGCTGCAATGTGAAGGACTTTGTGAAAACCTGCAACAGCGGCTCCGATGTTGTTGGCCTGGTGCTGGACCGCACCCCTCTCTATGCAGAGCAGGGTGGCCAGACGTTTGACAAGGCAAGGGCGGTTTTGCTTGCACAGACTGGGGCAAAGCATGGCAGCTCACCCGGGCGAAGAGGCCTCCATCGTGTGTGGCAATGTCGAGTTCAGCGTAGATAACACACAGAAGTACGTGCCTGGGCACATGGTCTTCAGCGGTGCGCTCGCAGTCGCTCGTGCAATCGTTCTCGCCTTTGTTCACGCATGTCCCTTCAGCTTAGGCCGGCTACGTTCTGCACGTAGGGCAGGTTGAGAGCAAGGGCGACTTGAAAGTTGGTGATGACGTGACGGTGAAGGTGCCATGGCTTCGCTATCAAACCTCTCCACCTAATTCGTAGAGCTTGGTTGCTGGCGCGGGTGGGTTACCTCATGGAGAGGAATCTTTGCATCCTTCTGTCTCGATCTGCTACTTAAGGTCGACTATACTCGGAGATCGCTTGTGGCAAAGAACCACACAGCAACACACATCTTGAACTATGCGCTTCGTCAAATCCTGGGCGAGAAGGTTGATCAGAAAGGTTCCTTGGTCACGGAGGACAAACTTCGATTCGACTTCTCACACAACAAGCCGGTGGAGCCAGAGGAGCTCAAAAAGATTGAAGAAATTTGCAATCAGATGGTGCAGAAGGCTTGCGTAGTGCATTATCGTGATGTTGCACTGGATACGGCAAAGGCCATCTCCGGACTGAGACACTCAGATGTTAAATTAGGGTCTCTTGTTCACTGTCTTGCCAGTATTGCGATGAAATTAAAGTCTCCAACGAGCCCAGGAGCAGTTTTCGGAGAGACTTATCCCGATCCTGTCCGCGTGGTTAGTGTTGGCCCGAAGATTGACGATCTCCTCAGTGATAAGAAGACGCCTTGGGGCCTTCAGAACAGTGTGGAGTTCTGTGGCGGCACGCACGTAGCCAACAGCAAGGACCGATTGATAATCACCTCCAATCACAACGCAGTCAGCTCATGAATGGCCATGCTGCGTTGAAGGCAGAGAGTAAAATGCCCATGAAGCAGCGCCATCTGGGTCACTGCCTGACCACAGGAGATTTACAAGTTCGTCTTGCTGCAGGAAGAGGGCATCGCAAAAGGCATTCGGCGCATTGTCGCAGTCACAGGCCCGGCGTCAAGTCACGGTGACAAGCGGCAAGAGCGTCTGCGCAGACTTATAAATGTCCCTTAGCCAGGTCCTCAAGCCGCTGTGGAGGCAACACTGAAGGCAAAAAGCCTTAGCCCCTGGTCGGCATTATGGGAGCTGTGTTGGCGGCTTAACGGCGGCTTCCCGGTCATGCAGTAAGACAGTCTCGACCGTCTCAATGTTTTTTATTGCATCTTCTTGCGTTTAGTAGACTCTGCAGGTTCCGATTTGGACGGCTTCAAGGGAATGTCTTCTGGTGCTGAGCTCGACAAATGTATTGGTGACTTGCGCCGGAGGGTCACCGAGGTCTGTGGGTTGACGTGTGCATGACACGCAGCATGAGAAGAGGGACTTGCCCCTCACAGGCATGCGTCCTGTCAGCGTTTGCAGAAGCTCTGGCGACAGCAAGCTGCCCCTGTCGGCAGGACAAAGAGGTGTCTCTGCTCATGAAGTCCGACATCATGACGCAGCTTGAGACGTTGCAACGCTCCTACGAGAGAGTGTTGCTGAAACGCGGAATGTCAGTTTTTCGCTCCTGCTGAACCGAAGCTAAGGGCGAAGGGCTCGCTCAAGGCCGGCAAGGAGCAAACGAAGAAGTTCGAAAGCAAGGCCAAGGAGGATGGCGAGAAACTAGGCAATTGGTCGCAAAAGGGTTCGCAACTCATGTTTTTTGGCAAGGGTTCAAAGATACCAGAAGCAAGGGAAGCTTGAATATTCTCACAGTTATGCAGTCAAAAAGGAAAATTACACAAACCTAAGAGCGGAAAAAAACATACTGAAAACATACATATATACATATATATATATGTATTCATATGAATATGCCCACAAATCTTAGGGACAAAAGCCTTGAAAACCCTAGACCCTAAGCAGGTCCTCCAACGAAAGGGGTGCAGGGCACTTTCGCAGGCGACTTGAGTACTAGTGATTTACCATGACAAATAAATACATGGCATAAAAAAATGTGCCATGAAAAAATGGTCCGGACCCAGATCATGGGGGGGGGGGTGGTGAGGGGTGGTGAGGGTGAGCACATTTCGATGGCAACCCGAAATCCCCACCCTCAGTGTGGCTCTAAAATAGTTTCTTCCCTGCCTTCGTGATTGAGTTTTACAAGACATTCACGTGAAAGCTCGCTCTCCTTTGGACTCCCTGCGCCGAGTCTGTGCCTGTTCTTAGTCAGTTCTGATGAAAAATTGAAAGGAAGCCACTACTTTATTAAACGCATTTTAGTTCCTGGCCACACTCGCAAGCAAGACCGCGATTTTCACATTTCTTAGGGCTGGCCGTGTCAAAGAGTTGCCTAGCCCCTCCGAAATGGTCCTTGAGCCCTAGCATTTCAGAATTCATGCTTTTAGGGTGCAGGTAGCACCTGGGGCAATAGGTTTATAATGTTGTTAATTGCGCTCATTGATTTTCAGGCTTCTGTTCCTAGAGCCTTTAGTAGTGAACCCTTTGCAAAACATTCGTCGTGAAACCGAACTGCGGAAAGGCCCTGACAAATCTCTAAGCTGTTCAGTATTAAGTTGCCCAGCATTCTGAAATACCTATATATATATATACATATATGTGTGTGTGTTCCCATATGTGCTCATATAAATTTCGTCGATTACATTTCTGAAAGGATGGACAATTGTGCAGGTTGCATGAAGTTTTTTTGAACACGGCCTGGAGCAGCGTTTCGAGGCCCCCCTTCAGAGCCACAAGCGTGGACCATGAGAGGGGGGCGAGGATATGTATGTGTACATGTGGACACATCTTTTGATCATTCGTTTGTGCATGCTTTCGTTCGTGTGTTCTTTCTTCAGGCAAGGAAGCGTCGTCGGCCTCCGGCGAGACCTTTGTGGGCATCGTGGAAGCGGGTGCGGGCTGTGACGATGCAAAGGTCCTGACACCTGCCATGGAGGCTGCAATCAAGCAGTGCCCTAGCAAGGCCGGGGTCTCGCTGACATTTCTTCACATTTACTTTTCCTTCTATCTTTCTTGCTATGTCTCGCTCTCTCTTTCTTCTCTTCTCTTCTCTTCTCTTCGCTTCTCTTCTCTTCTCTTTTCGTCTCTTCTCGTCTCTTCTCGTCTCTTCTCTTCTCTTCTCTTTTCTCGCGCCGTCGTCTGCATGTATCCATCATGCTAGATCAGCAGATAGATGATATGAGGCCATCATGCTGATGAGCAACATGGGCGGAAAGCTGGCGATTTTGGCTGTTGTTCCAAAAGCTTTGGCTGGGAAGCTCTCAGCAAAAGCATGGTCCGGCAAGGCCCGCGGCCTGAAAGAGGGAGAAAGAGGGAGAGTGCAACTGCCATGGTGGTAATGCATTCCTTTAACATCAGTGCTGGCATGCGGGCGATGTGAAAGCGCAGACATGGCTCAGGTCTTGGACGCTATTGGTGGCAAGGGTGGTGGCAAGGCGGCGGCGGATACTTGTGCAGGGTGTAAGCAGGGCAAGGGCGGTCGCCAGGATTCAGCATTGCGTTCCTGACAGGACGACCGTGCGCAAGGTCAGGGAGATGCGTCAAAGCTTGACCAAGCAGTCGCCGCAGCCAAATCGTACCCCTGAGTGACTTGTGTAGAGATCTACCTTTCACCTTTGCGTGGTTGCCTCTTGGGGTGCACGGATGCTTAAAATCTGCCCCACTGACGCAAGTTCAGAAGTGTTTGACAGTTGTCAGAGTACGAAAGGCAGCTTTGCACACTTATAGTGGCAAAGCCTCGGCCTGTTAATGTGGCCTGCAATTGGCCTGCTGTTGTGCGCTTCTTGTGATGAGCCTGGGCTGCACAGATCCTGGTGAAGCGGTGCGACGTGTGGCGGTGGGTGGTTGCGCGCTCCTTGCTTGACGGTTGTGGGTTTAAGTCACTCTAGTCTTACGTGCCGAACCTTTCGCATCCAGCTCCGGCAGCTTCAGTTCTTGGCAGGGAGTCGAACACTCAGGCTGCTACAGCTTTGGCTTGCCAGGATAACCCCAGCCAGCTGTCAAAACCGATTAGTGACGAGAAGCGCAAGCCTGAGAGACAAAACGCGTGCGTGTGCCCTGCAAAGCTTCGCAGAGCAGATTCCTACAGCTTCTGGCTTCCGAAAGTTTTGTAAACCTGCCCGTGCCGCAGATGTCTCCAGGTCTCACAAGATGAAATCAAGCTTGAGCAGGAGGGGAGGGTCTGAGTTGGCAAGTTGGCAACCTCTTTCAAGTTGGGGTCCTCCACCTTGTGGCTGCCAGGTGGAGGGTAGTGACGACTGGAAGGCCCACCACAGCATAGCTTTGCACCATGCACCGCTTGGCTCAGGCTCGCATGACTCAGCAGCGCAGGTACTTCCGTACTTCGAGGCCAACTGCTATGCTGAACCCAGGCCGGGTGCAGACACGTGTATGGGTTCTAGCTCGACCCTGGCATGGAGAGCGACATTGAGCAACCTGGAGCAACCTGTGCCTTTCAGAAGAGTGTTCTGGTGCAGGGGCGACGCTATTCGCGTTTTCCAGACGCATGGCGGGGGGCACTATCAAATGCTGTCATGAGGCCAACTGCAGAATACGGAGCACGCAAAAAGAGGGACTGACTGAAGCTGCTGTCAGCTGTGATTGCCTGAGCAATGATTGGACCTTCTTTCGAGTTGTTCGCCGCTGGTTCGAGACAGTCCCTGTCCATAGCCCGTGCATGCTTGTGACACTGCTTGACGAATGTGCTTCGTATGGAGGCTCTCGATTTCATTATCGTTTGGCGCAAGTGAAGCCAGTTGGCATCAGCACCGGTGCTTTCGAGGAAGCTTGTGCTAGAGCGACGGAGCTGAAGGACCCAATGCAAAACGAGCTGGTTGCAAAGCAGACTTTGGTCATCGGCAGGACAGGGGCAATCGAAAGCTTGCAGCCCACGATTTCGGAGGCGGCCTTCATCAAGCCAGTCCAGCAGAATAAATGGGCTTTTCCTACTCGTAGGTGCGCTGTGCAGCTATGGCGAGGCCACTGGACAAGCTAAGAGCGCAAGCTTTCTAATCACTTGTGTGGCGCGTGAGGGTCTGTTTCGGAAGCAGACTTTGCCTAGGCCCTAGGAGAGCTCGAGAGTTACTTGCGAGGAGGCCAGTGCTTGAGTGCTTGAGTTGCTTTAATTTAGTTTCGGCCACCTACCTGCATTCCGCGGCTTCGCAGTTTCACAATCTCCCATCGTGCCTTCGGATCTTGGGAATCTCTTGGACATTGGCTTGCTAACTGTGGGTATATGGTCGGCTCCGCATGAAGGTTTGGCTTCACCTGTCCAACAACTAGCCGCAGCTCTTCATTCAAACAGTGCCCAGGAGACAGCTGTGAGTGTGTGCACTGTCTGCAAGACCAAGATCCCCCCTTTCGAATCCGACAGGCGCTCATGAAGCAAAAGAAGTGGCTCGAGGCTTCGGCTTAGCTGCCCTCCGCGTCAAAGTCTCTGTTTACGAAGAGGCAATCGATCGTTGCCATGCTGCCTGGAGCTTACAGAAAACGCACCAACGAGACTAGAAAGCGGCACCGCTTGAAGGGGACCCGCTTGAGCCTTGAGAGCCCAAAGAAGCACCCATTTCTGTCAATTTGCCACCTGGCCGCCTTGCCAAGGCCTTGCGATATGACCCGAGCCACACAAAGCAAGGGCCCCACCTAAGAATGGGGTTTTCTGGCGAACAGTGGAAGCTCAACCGGAGGTCTTCGTGGCGAGGTGCGAGCAGTGCTGTGGAGGCTAGTGCTTGGTCTTTCGATCTTGTTTTCAGAGTTGGCTTGACAGACACATTGAGGTGGGCATGCGTGAGGTCGCAATCGCGTTTGTGGAGTGAACGGCCTAAAATCTGCTTTGCAGGGCTGCTAAAGTTGCTAGAGCAGATGCCCTTTCCACAAGACTCAGCTAAGGAATGGGCTGCTGCACAGCCCCACCTGTGCTGACCTGTTAGACCTCCGAAGGAGGCAACTTCCAGGGCACGCTGATTACTAGGAGTCCCGAACTTGCGAGATCTTCGAGTGAAAAGTTGTGTTCGCAGGCTTGGCGTGCTGCACGCTCCTCAGCAAGAGCCTTGCGTGCTTGCCAGTGTTTGGGGGCCTCGCTTCCAACACTGTTCGAAGAAACTGCGTGCAGGCCCGACGGCGATTTGCACGGCTCACCAGGCCCGGTCTAACTGTTCTGCTTCACATGTCTAGCTGTTTTTTCAGTGGATGGAAGGCGACAGTGAAGGAGAGGAGATTTGTCCGGCGAGTTGGCATTTGCCGTCGTGCGTGCAAAGCGAGGCATGATCAGGTAACATGTCTTGTTCTTGTTTGCTGCTTGCGTGCTGGCACAGGCGTTAAAGCCAAAGAAAGCTCCACTCAAGCCAGGCAAAGAGAAAGGACCGCGGGGGCTTCACAGAAACAGCAGATGCTGGATTGACACTAGCCGGCGTCCACAAGCAGGAGACTGACGGGCCCGAAGTCATGCCGGTGTTTGCCGTCGTTTTCACGGAAACTCCGTTGCTGCCAGTCCATCTCGATCACGTTGAGTTGCCAAGTGGGTGTCAACACGTGTCAACGTTGCCAAGACTGCTCCGGCCGGCGAAGCGCATGTGCAGAAGGTCAGGTCGTGCTTGTGAGGATCGTCGACGGCTAAATTGCAGAGCGCTGGCCTGGAGAAATTTGCTTTCGTTCAATCTCAGCAGTGGGAGGAGGAGCTTGGGGGGGGGGGGGGGGGGCAGGACGTCCATGAAATTGGCTGCCTTCGTGGGCTCATTGTTCAGCTCTCATCCATGTTTGGTGTGAAAAAGTTATAGGTATGCGAAGTAGAACATATTACTAGTAGCTGCATGTAGCTGCTACAACAGATGGCAATTGGTGTTGGCAGTGCTCCTAGCGCAACTCCGGCACCCATGGAAGTGGCCTGTGCGCTCGGAATGGCATGGCGAGCATGTGACGTGCAACAATGGTGAACAAGCGGAATCTTGGCGGAACACCGGCGAATTGCGTTTAGCACCGAAAACCTCAATGACCTTAATGTGCTTGTTTGCCCCATGCGTTGCTTTTTGCAGATGGAACAGGAAACCAAGCGTCCGCATTCCTCAACCTCGGGTTCCAGCAGAGAAGCTACCGTCTGCCAGCACGCAAGAAGACCTTGATGTTGTTATTGCGACCTGGCTGTACTTGCGAACTACTGTGGCGCATTTTTGAAACATCGGGTTTTGAGGGGCATGAGTTGCCTTCCACCTGGGGCGTAAACGCTAAGGACAATGATGATCCAGCGAGAAGTGGAGTTCTCAGCTGTTGGCACAGGGATAATTGCGAGTTTTTGCTGGATGGCAGTGGCACTGGCAGAAGCTGTAGCATGCAGCATGTACGCGCACCCCTTACTGGCAATAGTCAAGGCAAGATGAGGCAAGCCAGTAACCCCGAGGTCAATTGGCCGAGGAGCTCCGGCAACAGACTTTGGCAGCGCTGAGTGCATGGTTGCGCCGTGCCGAGGCGGAGCAGAATCTCCTGATTCGCCCTGAAGCCTGATTAAATGACGATTAAATGCCACCGTTCAGGTAAGCAAGCGGCCGGCGGGCTCTCCGCAATCGCCGCCGTCACCGCGGAAGGTCAGCCCCGAATCTTTTTAGGCAGATGGAGGGTGAATGAACAAAGCTGTGATACATGGCCGGCATTGCTGCTGCACTCTCTCGCTGCTGTTGTTTCTTCTGGCTTTGCTTGCGCACGATTGTGATGTGCAAGTGTAAGGGGGAGATGACTAGACAATCTTACTTGATGCACTGCTGAAACGAGTTTCATTCATTGCGCAGTCTCTCAACTGTCTCCAAGTGGTCCTTCTGTGCAATTCCACGCCAACTGCACGCAGGCTCGAAATCAACAATATATTTGCACTGGCGGTACGTGGACTGAGTTTGCGTCTTGGCTCTGAACTGCCGGATATAGCGGGACGGGCCACGGCATACATGGATCTCTCGCCGGCGTTTGTTTGCATTGTCCCTGCGAGTGTTATCGCGAATACATTGCATGTCGTGCATATTTCATGTTGAAGTACCAGCAAGGTGCGAGACACCCTGCACGAGAGACTTTCTGAGTGTCTGACTTGCGCATGGACACACAGCTGTGGGGAAGTGGTCCGCGACCCACCAATCCAGCGACTTTTGGCAGCACCCCATGTGCATCAGGGTTTTCTTCACTGTACCTTTGTGCCTATTGCCTAACTGAGGCCTTCGGAGAGTCTGCAAGATGCTCATCCACACCCATCGCTCCTACCTAGCCTTACATGTACAGGTCCAGCAGGTGCCATGGGGATACGATGCGCGTCGTTGCAGTTGGATTCAGAGTTCTATGTTTTCCGTGTTTTGCCACTCAGTCTGGAGAAGGTTTCGAAGACTTGAAGGGTGTGTTCCTAGTCATGCTCGATTGATCGCCCGCAGGTCGTGCCATTCACGGTCAAGTTTGTTTGCGCGATTTCAAATAACACAAATGCATGAACCACATGGAACATCTAGCTCGGCACCCGGCAAAACTCGAAATTCCCAAAGCGCCATCTCGGTAGGTGGAGGCACGACATCACCAGCCAAATGAGCCACCGAGAGGGCACTTCGCCACCACGGCGGCGCACGAGTTTCATCTGGAGGACACACAAATCGCCACTTCACATTTAAGTCGTCTTTGCTGGGCATTGCCTCAGCTGTGCAGGTTGCTCACATGGCGTTGCTGGCGTTGCGTGCGTTCCTTGCGTTCCTTGCGTTCCTTGCTTTCCTGATCCAGGACTTTTGGCAGAGTTACAAGTGCAGACCTTCGACGAGCTGGGCGTCAGCTCCGGTCCCATCCTTGGTCGTCACAAGGCTAGTCAGGACTTCACACAAAAAGGAGTGCTGAAGCGCCAGGTAGTTTGCACAGCATCGGGCACATGGGACTTGCAATTCCGTGGAAAGAGGGCGACTCCCAGACCAGAAATCTTCGGGAGTTGGACATCATCCTTGTTTGGCGTGCGGCCCTCCAGCAGAGCAGCGACAGCTCCTTCAGGCCATTTCGGTGGTTTCTGGCTTCGGGCTTCGGCCGCCTGATTTTTAACTTGAGAGCAAGGAAAGTGTGGTCTGTTCAGGTGCCCGCAGGGAGTACTCTGCAAGCATCCGGCCCCAGACCTCCTTCAAGTGGAGTTCCTCTTTCCTCGATGGCGACATGCCTGCAAATCCAAAAGGGCTCCGTGTATATTTTTCTCCTGACGGTTTTTTCCCTTATCCTTTCTGGGCACCCTTACCCCTACTATTCATTATGAACCACCGTGCAAACAATCGCACTGCGCCTATGACCTGCTCCCCATTGCCCACCATATTGCCGCCATCCCCACAATACCCACCATCACACACCAGCACTCACGATTCCCACCATTCCCACTATTACCCGAAACACGTCCCCGCACACCATTCCTAGCATTCCATGTCCCCGTGCCTCATTCGCACCGCAGCCCATCATTCCCACCATTTCCCGCCCATATTGCCGCCCTCATCCCCACCATTGCACACCATTCATCACCCGCAATTCCCGACGTTCCCCCCATTTCTCGATGTCCCACAACTTATAACTCATTGCCCACCACTACGCATCACTACGCGCCGCCAAAAACCCGCCATTTTCACCATTTCCACCATTCCCTCCTGTACCAGCTACTATGTACCTGCCATTTCCGCCATGCCCATCATGCCCCCCCTTCCCGCCACCACCAGCCATTCCCCACCAACTACCACTCCCACCGATTGCATCTTTGCCCATGCGAAGCGCAGCCTGTGACTTAGGGAGCGAGTACAGATCTGCGAGGTCACGGGTCAGTCGTTTCTTGCAGTGTGCTGTTGTAATACCGCACCGCCCTCAGAAGTGGGCGTGCGTGGGCTTTTCTTTCCGCCTGCCATTTCTCGCATCGCCCTCAGAAGTAGGCGTGAGGCGTTACACGTGTACAGGTGTTACCCTCGAGGGCGACCATCTTGAACCAATTGCCCAGCTTTCCCAACGCAGGGTGGATCGTGGAAACTGAACTCCTCAATCTGCCAAACCCCAAACCCCTTTTTGGACCCAAAACCCCCCCCCCCCCCCCCCCCCCGTTGAATGAAATTAAACACCATCGGATTAGGATGGCGGGCCCTGAGGCCCGAAAAACGAACCGGCAGAATAAGAAAAAAACCATCACCGACAGAGAATAAGGGAAAACACCCCGAGAATGATAAAAAAAAAAAAAACGCCCATGCCCAATCCAAAACTTGCCAGAAAAGTAAAGTTTCAGGGGAATAGCTGTGGCATGTCGTGGCACGTGGTTCGTGTAGTTCGAGATGTGAAGGTGGCGACTCTACTGTTTCTGTGTGGGCCGATGTTCCAGGCACAGCAACATTTGTGGAAAACTCTTTGCCATTTCTTGTACAATCGTGGCTCTGCAAGTGCAGGGCAGACTACCATTTCGGATCGACGCGACTTTGACGAGTCCGACCTGAACCTGCACAACATGGAAGTTTCCAGTTGTCCCTTGTTTTGACCATCTTCCCGGTTTCCTTGAAGTCACAGCAGGTTCCTTCCATGTGAAGACATGTGAAACTCTGTGACGGCCCTAAGGCTTCAGTTGGTGTTGCTATTTGCGAGAGGCGCCAGCTGCCGGATTGTTTTCAGAAGGGCTGCCAAACTCATCCAAAATCTGGATGCAGGTGGTGAACTCTCCAGTGATGCTGGCAGATCCGACCATGTTGGACAAAGTCGACGGCTTGGACGAACTGCCGGTCATGGACGCACCGCTCGAGCAGCAACCGGCCATCAACACCAAGCACACAAGCACGCCCGCCCGCCCGCCCGCACGCAACGGAACAAAACAAATAAGTAAACAAAAACATGTCAAGTTGCACAAGCACGCACAGTTTGCGCGCACGCTCGCGCACGCGCGCCTGCTTGCCCACGCGCACACAAACATTTGTACACAGACGCGCATTCACTTTCGTGTACATACACACACACACACCCACACGCCCACACATCCACACACCCACACACCCACACACCCACACACCCTCACACCCACACACCCACCCACACAGACACACAGACACACAGACACACAGACACACAGACACACAAACACACAGACACACAGACACACAGACACACAGACACACAGACACACAGACACACAGACACGCAGACACGCAGACACGCAGACACGCAGACACGCAGACACGCAGACACGCAGACACACAGACAC